AGAAGGACAGGGGCTGCATACTAATCATACGCAGCACCTGTCCTTCCCGGGAGCTGCCCGATACGGCTGTGCACACAGCACGGAGCTGTACGTGCCGGCCGATTCCAGTGTGAATGAGCCCTACGTGTCCCCAGGAACATAGAATAAAACATTTTTGTTTTTTAATACTCACCTGATGCCTGGATCCACCGACAAGCCCAGCTTCCCGTCTCTCCCCCGCTGTCAGAAACTGCATACAGAGCATGCTGGTTACTACTTAAACGGGCGCGCTGTGTGCCGCTTCTGAGAAGATACGCTATTAGCGTAGCGTGAGTGATGCAAAATGCGCAGCCAGCTTCCTCGCAATGCTAATAGCGTTTCTTCTCAGAAGCTGCACACAGCGCGCCGGTTTAGGTAGTAACCAGCACGCGCTGTATACAGTTTCTGACAGCATGGGAGACAGGAGGCTGGGCTTGTCTGGATCCAGGGATCTACTTAATTTTCTGGCAGTGCCCCTCCCGAGAATAGACTCTGGATCCGCCCCTGGCTGTATGTCCCCGCAGCGGCTGTGCGGGGATGTACTGTGTCACCAGTACCGCGGGTGGGAGAGGCAGGGAGCGGCTCTATCTCGGGAGGGCATTTGCCCTGTTGCCCCCCTGTATCTGCCACTGATGTCGTCGTCTGCGGCGCTGGATGTCGGCGGCGCTGAGCGGAGGAGCGTCACGTCACTGCTGTGGGCGGAGCTCCAGGCAGTCTCCGGCCACCTACATTAGGAGCTCCGCCCACAGCAGTAACGCAATGCTCCTCCACACAGCCGGCCCAGAGGACTCCACAACAGAAGGTAAAGTATAACAACAACAAAACAAAAAAAAACAGCGCAAGCATCGGCGCTATGCATCGGGGCATTTTGACAAGTACATGTACTTGTCAAAATGCCCTGTATCGGGCCCGATTCCGATGCTAGCATCGGTATCGGGACATCCCTAATTATAACTATGCCAGTAGCTAATATTTTGTTGTGAAAATTTAAAGCAGTTTCATAATGATTAATACCTGTAACAAAAATAAAAGTGCTAAGACTATTATCGTATAGTTTGTGAAATTGTGCTTGTAACTGTGCATATAATACGAATATAACATCACTCTGATTTGGATGAATCATTGTAAAATTAACTTAAAGAACATACATTCAAAAAATTAAAATTAAAAAAGTATATCTTGTCTTACATACTGTGTGTATAAAATAGATACAAACAGTAGAAATGATCACTGTTTTATTTCTTAGAAACTTCTTTGAAAATTGAGGAGTCAATATGGAAGGTGAAATTAAAGGCATAGTCTTTTGGGGTGTAAATGACCTGAGGACGCTGTGATGTAATTGAATGAGAACAACTGGGTGGAGCCAGCTGTGGTATCACAGCTGGCACTACCCTGTTGTTTTGATTTGGCCGGGAGATTTTGATTTGGCCAGGAAGACTCTGACAGGTGCCGGCCAAATGTAAACAGCTGGGTAGAGCTAGCGGTGATGTCACTGCTACCTCCGCCCAATTGTTTATATTTTGCCAGCATCTGTCAGAATGTCATTTTGCAGTAGGAGTTCGTCGAGTGCAGAGGGATCGGCAGGCGTGGGTTTTTTTTATTTTTTTTGACGAGTCGTCGTCATGGTGGACAACACTGGATGTCGTGATTGACCTTAGGATTGATCGTTGGATCAATTTTTTTTTTTTTTTAAAATAAATGAATTGTCAAAAATCTTTGTAGTGTTTTTTTTTCAAATAAAGGATTTTTTCCAGAATCTGGTCTCTTTATTAATATTTGTATTTACCTTTTAGTGAATGGGTAGGGGTACAAGAACCCCTTACTCATTCACAAAGGGGGGCCGCATATGGGTGCCCCTTTATTAAAGGGGTACCCCGATGCAAATAAGCCCCCCCTGCCCGCCGACCCCCACAACCAACGCCCCAGGGCTTGTGGGGAAGAGGTCCTTGTCCCCATCGGCACAGGGACAAAGTACTTTTCCATGGGGGAACGCAGTGCCGAGGGCATGTGGCCTGGTTTGGCAGGGGGGGCTGCTAGCTCATCCCACCCCTTTCCTGCCCTGCCAGGCCTGTGCTCGGATTAAGGGTCTGGCTGGGAAATCTAGGGGGACCCCACTTTTTCCCCCCATTTTTGTGGGTGCGGTTCCTCCTTAAAATTCCTACGAGACCTAAAGGGCTTGATATGACTTTGGAGGGGAACCCTATGCATTTTTTTTTAACTTGGGTTGGGGTTATATAGTTACATAGTATTTGAGGTTGAATAAAGACATAAAAGTCCAACCTATTGCGTGTATGCATTTATGAGCTGGTGTGTGCGTGTATATGTGTCCATGTGTGATTTTTCTCTTACCAATACCTGTACCCCTGAATGTTATGGTCTCCCAGGAACTCGTCCAGGAGTCTCTTGAATGATTCCACACTCTTAGCTGAAATCACTTCCTGTGGCAGCGAGTTTCAGACCTTAACCGCTCTAACTGTGAAGAACCCCCTGAGCCCTGTGTGGTGAAATCTTTTTCCACCAATTTTTGGTTGTGCCCTCTGGTCTTTGTTACGGAGCTGACCGTAAACAGTTTGTTACTAAGGTTGCTGTCACCCTTGAATAGTTTATACATGAATATCATGTCCCCCCTTAATCTCCTAACCTCCAAAGAGAACATATTTAATTTTAACAACCTTGTTTCATAGGGTCCCTCTTAAAATTCCTACCAGACCTAAAGGATCTGGCATGGATCAGGAGGGGGACCCCACTCTGTTTTTTTTTTCCTTTTATTAATTTTTTAAATTTTTTATTCTGCTCGCTACCTCTAAGGTAGCGAGAAGAATAGTGTCAGGATCCAGAGCACCCCCAGATGGCGCTGGAGCCAGGTCCTGCAGTTCCTGTCCTCGCCTGTGGGCGTCTCCAGCAGCCAGGAGCTGTCAGGAACCAGAGCACCCCCAGGTGGCGCTGGAGCCAGGTCCTGCAGTTCTTGTGCTCGCCTGCAGGTGTCTCCAGCAGCCAGGAACTGTCAGGAACCAGACCACCACTGGGTGATGCTGGTACCTGCAGCTCCAGTACTCACCTGTGGGTGTGCCCCAGCTGTGAGTGATCATCCCATCACCTGGTGTTTCCAGGGAGGGTATTTAGGCCCCCCCTGCAGTCAGGAAGCTGGCTCAGTATTGCGTCAGGCTTGTTACCCTCCTGTTAACGACCCGTCTTGTTACCTGACCACTCTTCTTGGATCCTGTTCCTGTACCACGCTGCCCTCCTGTTAACGACCCGTCTTGTTACCTGACCACTCTTCCTGTATCCTGAGCCCTGCTATCTATCTGTGTTTGTCCCAACCGTGTATTTGCTACTTCACTGCTAACCTGTGGGGGTTGATGGGGTTTGTAGTTATGTTTACTGTGTAACAAATAAACCTTGTGCATAACCTCATCCAGTGTGGTCACACTAATTTGGTCTATCTGCGTGGGTACCTGCATGCGGTGTGGGGACACCCGTGCGCGTTACCGTGACAAATAGCCGAGCCGAATGCCGCTTGGCTATTCTACCATATGAGAATAGGGCAAACAGCAATGGGTGAACTGCCGGAGGTTCGGCTCATCCGATCCAGATGTTCGGCAGCTTAGTGAAAAACCCCCATGTTTCATGTGCCACTGTGGCAGAGGGACTCATAAAATGCTGGCACAAGTTTGGTGATGTTTCTGAACCTATAGTCCATTGTTTACTTGCTACAGTCCCATAACAGAATCCATCCATTTCAATCCATCATTTTTTTTTTATTTCAAGCAATTCATAAACCACTGCTATGGTGACCATCCCGATGGGCATAAGGCACCCCAGCAACAGAAGGACCCGCTACTTACCAAACACCAAGTGCTTGATGTAAAAATGGATTCTGATGCCAGAGGGGACTCTGATGTGAGGCGGTAGCTACCCAGATAGCACGCAATTGAGCTGCAAGTTTTAAAATGACTTGCTAAAGTATTGCAGACTTGCCAAGCTACACAATTGTGTTGCACAATTACAGCAAGTCTGCATTGCAAGTCTCCAGATCAACATGCTTTTCGTATTGCTGCACACTTGCAGAGCTCTTGCTAAGACCTCCAGGACTCTTGCTGTAGACTTGCTAAGCAAATTTGGTACAAATTTAAAAGTGTCAACTAGAACTTGTGCTGCAAGTGTTCTGCAAGTCTACAACTTGCCAGGAATGTGTGCAGCAAGTTAACAAGAATTACAATTTAACCCTGCCACAAGTTTGTGGCAAGTTATCCTTGCTATCTGGGTAATGTAAAGGGGGTTTCTTATATGAAATGGGCTTTTGATGTAAAGGGGGATTCTGATGCAAAATGTGGACCAAATTACTGTGAATAAGCCGATGGGCATAATATAACGTGAGCCCTCTAAATTTGCATTCTAAAGGGGGAGAGGTGCCTTCAGATTCCGTATATCGAGGCAATTTATTCTGTTGCTATCTTTTGATGTAAAAACGGATTCTGATGCTAAAGGAGGACTCTGATGTGAACGGGCTCCTAATGTGCAGAGACTTTTGATGTAAAAGGGACTTCTGATTTAAAGGGGGAACTTTGATGTGAAGGAGGAAATACCAATATGAGTTTTTGCCTCACAGAGAAGGGCCTGGTATAGATTTTAGAGGGTTAATAAATTTTTTATGTTTACATTTATTCATTTATGTTTTCTACATTTTAGACTGGGTAATAGATAACCGGCTTCCTCCAATGGTGTAATACCGATAAGTGGGCGCTAGGTGGCGATGTTGCGCAATAGACAATGCACGCCCTTTACTCCCTCCTCGCACTGTACGGGCACCTGCCATTCTATGGGGGGTGATCTACCTTCCTCTACATAACGGACGTTCCTTCTCTATGATACAAAGTATAAAGTTAGCTTTCTCCCATAGGTCATCCAAGACACACAGACCACTGCTGACCATGTGAATGGCTCTGCCCGTGCTGTGACAGCCTTCAGCTGGTTCACCTACAACGCAAGTCTTTTCTGCAGGGCGGGGACATCATCGTCATGATGAAAGTTTCTTTCCTTTCTGTTCCAGCAGCTTCCGTACCAGCTACAGACGAGTGAGTGACACCGGGGAGTGACACCGAGGAGGACAGCCAGGAGCGGGGATCTCGGCCAGGTACAGTCATCTGATCACCTGTCATCACAGGAGGTGTCCTAACCTCCCACCAATTGTCTGCTGTTAGTGAATACTGACTCTTTATAGAAACCTTTCTTAACCCATTATACTCTCCAAGTCTCAGGGATCCTTTGATAAATATAACTTTAAAGCTCATGATGCTTTAGTGATCAATAAGTTGTAGATATCACAATAAATACATGTATAAAGTATGTGGAGTATTTAGTGAATGTGACACCCAGAGCAGATCAATTTCTAACACTCCTTCCACCCCCGATCTATACGACAAAATGGTTTTCAGCAATAATCATTCAATTAATACTAAAAGAAACACAGACCTTAGAGATTGGTCCTTTACATTGTTCGGGAGCCATGCCCCTTAGATGAGAGGTTAGTGGGAGGAGGATGGATAAGGTATGTTGTCAGCACGCCAACAAGCTTGTTTTAAAGGGTCTTCTTTATTGCATGATCACATCGAAGAACAATGCTCTGGGACCGCACAGGGACCCTTCATCCCCTTTAAACTAGAACTCGGGGGAAACATATTCTTTAACCTTGCAGTGGGGCTACCCCCGCACTCCAAAGGGTTAAAAGCACGTTTGTGTCTAGGTTCAAAATAAACCTCACCTGATCCTTTGAGCCAGCTTGCTCTTAAGCTGCCCATACACCTTGCGATCATTGGACGACACTTTTCGCCCGATGATTGAAACCGTCGTACGTTTTTCGTACAGCGGCCCCATTCTGCCCCGATTGTCGCAAGGTTGGATCGGTGGTAATTAAAAGAAAGCATCTGGACGAATTGCGGTAATCGAGCGCACGTATTTTCGTCTGCGCATGTGCAGTGTAAATTGTACGAATTTTGACGTACGGAAACGCCACCAACCTTGCGAAAATCATACGATCGACCAAAGTTTTCTAACCGTCCGGTTAGTCAAAAGTCGATCGATTGTACAGTATTTGCGGTTTTACACTGCCCATCAACCTTACGTATATCGGTCAAAAATGCGATCGCATGCGAAAATCGGCCGATATTCGTAAGGTGTATGGGCACCTTTAGATCGGTCCCTGGAGCCTCTCTCCTCCTCCGATGCGGTGGTCTAAAGTCCCGTGAGTTATCATGTGCTAAACACAGTGTAAAGGATATGAGGACGCCGAGGGACATATCGTCGCTGCAGCGGAGGAGACAGAAGGTACCGGTCTAAGAGCAAGCTGGCTCCAAGGATCGGGTGAGTATAACTTTGTTATTTTTGAACCTAGACACATACGAGCACCGCAAGAGTTCCCCAGAGTTCTGCTTTAACAGTTGGCACGTGCATGTTTTTCATGTGTTCACGATATGCGCAAAAAGCACGCGTCGCAGGTCGCGCTTGTAGTTTCATTATTGTTAATGGCACCTAAAGGCAGCAAGCAAGATGCGTGTTCTTGCACGCACAAAAACATGCAACAGATGCAAGCTCAAAAAAAGCCCAAAGCTCGCAGCTCAAACAGCTGCATGTTCTTTTTTGTTTCACATTTGTCGCACATAGGGCAGTCCATTGATATGATTGTGCTGTCCTATGTGCAGGTGGAACAAACGTGGCAAAAATGTGCGAAAAACACTGCTCATGTTCACACGTGTGGCAAGTGTGAATGGGGCCTCAGGCATATGCATCACATGGCTGATGAAGAAGAGTAAAGATATAAAGATATAAATAATAATAAAAAAGAATACAATAAAAACGATATAAAGAATAATAAAGAACTTTGAACTTTGTAACATCCTTGTCGGTGCGCTGAAGACATATCTTATCCATGTTATACACTGTGACCAGCCTGGGCATCACCCTTATAACCATATGGTCAAATCTAGTATGATGTGTGAAATGAATATACTCCAAGGGGAATTTATCAATACTGGAGCAGACAAAAACTGGAGCAGCTGTGCACGGCAACCAATCAGCTTCTTTGTTTCATTTTCAAATCTTAACTGAACAAACTGAAGAGAGAAGCTGATTGGTTGTCATGCATAGCTGCTCCAGTTTTTGTCTGCTCCGGTTTTGATAAATTCTGCCCTCCATGTTAGTGGGAGAAGGACCCTCTTGTAATAGTGATAATCAGGCAGAATCAGTCCTGCTCATGAAAGCCCTACCAAACTCTGAAGGAGTTTTATTAGGAGTTTTATTTAGGAGTTATTATCATTATTATTATTATTATTATACAGGATTTATATAGCACCAACAGTTTGTGCCGCCTTTACAAAATAGGGAAGACATTATAATTACAATACAATTCTAGACAGTGTGGTAATGAGGGCCCTGCCAATGAGAGCTTACCAACTAAGGTAGGGCTCTATGGAACCGCTAGCAAATTCTGAAGAAACCCCAGGGCTCCATGGAACCCCTAGCAACCTCTGAAGGAACCCCAGGGCTCCATGGATCCCCTAGCAACCTCTGAAGGAACCCCAGGGCTCCATGGATCCCCTAGCAACCTCTGAAGAAACCCCAGGGCTCCATGGAACCCCTAGCAACCTCTGAAGGAACCCCAGGGCTCCTTGGAACCCCTAGCAACCTCCTGAAGGAACCCCTAACAACCTCTGAAGGAACCCCAGGGCTCCATGGAACCCCTAGCAACCTCTGAAGAAATCCCAGGGCTCCATGGATCCCCTAGCAACCTCTGAAGGAACCACAGGGCTCCATGGATCCCCTAGCAACCTCTGAAGGAACCCCAGGGCTCCTTGGAACCCCTAGCAACCTCTGAAGGAACCCCAGGGCTCCTTGGAACCCCTAGCAACCTCTGAAGGAACCCCAGGGCTCCATGGATCCCCTAGCAACCTCTGAAGGAACCCCAGGGCTTCTTGGAACCCCTAGCAACCTCCTGAAGGAACCCCTAACAACCTCTGAAGGAACCCCAGGGCTCCATGGAACCCCTAGCAACCTCTGGAGGCACCCTGTGTGAGAAAGTCTAGTCTATACCATGCAGCTATTTCCTGAAACCTGACAACTTGCTATATCTTAAATGGACGCTATCATGAAAAATATAGAAGTCTGATAACTGTATACAGCTGATACATGCAGGAATTGGATTATATTTTTGAACTTTTTATATTTATCTCAATTTACCTACAGACCAAGCTGTACAGGAGATGGTGGCATTGATTATGGTTGTTAGAACAGTTACCTTTTACTCACATTGTTTAAATCTTCAGAGGGGAATGCGGTGCAGTTACTAAATCATAAGAATTTTTGCAGTGGCCTCTGGTCCTGCATTGCATGTGATGATGCTGGTAAAAGGGGTGGTAAAAAGACTGGTTAGAAACTGGCAAGAAGAGTGGCTGCATCACAACCAGAACTGACATGTGGGAGTAAAGTAAGTTTACTCTGACTTATTTATTCCCCGGGAGGACATGAGCATCAATGCTGAACTCCAGAATTAAAAAAACAACAACTACACTTGTAATGCCCTCCCCGTTCCCCTGATCTGCAAGTGTAAATGCTGGTTCAGGTCTAGGGGTAGATGAATAAAGAGTAATACTTACTCTACTACTCACTCCAGCTGGCTCTTCTCTCTGACACTTTGTGGGCGGTCCCTCACATTCTCACTATGGGTCTATTGGCCCTGCATTGTACTAATGACGTCCGCATGCGTCTGCTGGTCGGAGCATCCTAGAGGATACTGGTCGCACGGATGGAGGGAAGCAGCCGGAGTGAGCAGTAAGGTAAGTATTACACCTTATTCGTTTACCCTAGACTTAAATAGCATTTGACCTTTGCAGTGGGGGGAGGGAGGGGGCACTGCAAGGGTACTTTTATTTTAATCATACAGTGCTTGAGCTGCTTCAAGCATTTTTGGAGTGTTTTTTTTATGCGCATTTATGCAGTTTACACACATAAATGTGCATTTTGTAAGCCTTTTTCTTCATTTTTCCATGTGCTTTCAAGCTCAAGCCATTTTGTGTAAGCCAATGGAAAGCAGTTATTTGTGACATCAATCGTCGTCATCTTCCTGTTATCTCCTTCCTGGTTATTCACTGTTCCACTGTTCTGTGGTCTTTTGTTGTACGATCAGAGCCATGTTCACTATGATCTCTTCCATTGCAGCAGCTGCAGGTCATATGGGGTCATAATGAATGGTTCTTGACCTCCCCAGTCTTATAAACGGCTCAACATCCAGCGAGTGAAGTCCTGCTTTCCTCATTTTGTTACAAGCACTAGGGTTACTAAGAGGAGAGTGATTGTTAGGTTACAAAACGCATTGCAAACATGGGGAAAATGTTCTAAAGTGACTAGTAGTACACATTTTCAGTCTTTCCCATTGAAGTCTAGGAGAGAAAAAGCAAAGGATCAAGCCCATAAAAAGCTCCTGAACGTCTTTGCTACGACAAGCAGGAGCACCGTGCTCTACTGTGAACTGTTGCCATAGGATACAATGAGAATCCTCGGGTTGAGGAGCCTTGCTTAGCCTACCTTCCCTACATAGTGTGTCATTGACCATGATAAATATGTGTCTCTGTTGCCCCAAAATCTAACTGGCTCCTTGCTTGGTTCTCAGTGGTGCCTTACTAAGTAGAAAACAAAAAGAAGAGCTCTTGAGCCTTCTGCTTCTAAATACCTTCAAAAATTGACACTTTCCATATTTTACAATATGCCAGTGTAGATCGGGGTAGGCAACCTCGGCACTCCAGCTGTTGAGGAACGACAAGTCCCATGAGGCATTGCAAGACTGACAGGCACAGGTATGACCCCCCCAGTGGCATAATGGGATTTGCAGTTTTACCACAGCCACGGTTGTCTACCCCTGGTGTAGATCAATGTGTGCATACTGGTCCTGCTTACCTTTTTATAGGGAATGTAGGCTGGGTGACAAGCTGCATTTCTGGATGCACAATTTGAAGTCCACGTGCATGAGCGTCTAGAGATAATACTGTCTTGGCTGTGCATAATTGAATTCAATAACCCATTCAGCAGCACAATGGTATTAGTCTACCTTAGATGACTGTATATACTTTCTTTTATGATTAATGA